TCGCATAAATATCGCATAATTTGAAATCATCACATCGCATAGCAATGCTTTTCAATGCGCATAATCTGGGGTCTCTACTCTATAACTCGTGATGCATACACTTACATAATTTATAGAATTCTTTGTCATGCCTTTCATTATCAGTAGAAGTTTCTCAGCGTGGAAATACATGTCTTAACTTCTATCCTAGAAATTTTTGATGTAAGAATGCGTGTTTTTACTTCTGTCTAACCTTTTGAGTTTCAGGAAAGAGGTGGAAGCTAAATATATAAAAGGGCAGTATATGACACTAAATGTTATTTTTTATATCAATTATTCTGCTATATCTCATTCAAAATTCCCGCAACTAATTTTTTATATCAATAATTCTGCTATATCTCATTCAAAATTCCTGTAACTTTTACCATGTCAACCCAATTGTCAAGAATAGTAAAACTTTTAACAGAAGAACCATTAGATGCCATTTGTTCTGCGTCGGTTGTTTATCTGGCGATGGTCGATAATACTTTAGGCGAATATGAAGATGTTAGAGAATTGGCAGATCGTGCAGTTAAAAAAGCATTGGAAGGAATAAGTAATTCTGATAGAAGAGATAGAGTATCAATGATTCTACCACAGGTTAGTGAGATATTATTTTGTACAACTATAATTTACATAAAGTGATGAGATTACAGTAGATATCGAACCTGAGTTTTGGTATGTCATTGCTGAAGGCTGAGGAATGCCGGCCCAGAAGAGCGATATCGTGGGATTTGCTATCCCTGAGATGTCGAGGGTTTCTGCTTCCCCTCAGCTGTGCGTGGCTGTTATAACCATAACAATGATGCACTATTGGAGATTAGCTTCTGATTATGCGCATGCGCAAGTCTAGCATATCAAATTTTAAAATTTGATCCTAATAATATACCGGTATTTGTAACCATATCTACTGTAGATGGAAAATGGATACAAAAGCGTTAAAGGTCTGAATGCAATTATGGCATTGAATATGGTATAGTATCTAGTTACCGATCTAGATCGAGATTATACTTGTATGATACGGGCTAACAAGTCATTCAGGAAAAGGAACCGGCCCAAGATCATGAGAGAGAGGAGATAGAACGGAATCTTAATTTTTTGAAGGAAAAACTTGATGTAGGTGTTAGAC